AAAAAGTGTGACGTTTAGCTATCCCGTGTTTGTTCCCATACTTTCTTATATATATTCCCATATAACACAGCACTACTTAACCCTTATGCGTTCAGTCATAAAGCAAGAGACATAATAAAATACTAACCAAGCGATTGGCCGCGACAGCAGTGTCTTATCGTGGCAACTGTATGGACTGTGTAGGCCACCATTATCAACCAATTCGTCCGCTACTTAGTACATAGACGTAAGCATTGCCATAGACCATTTACAGTAGCAGAGATGGTGTAGTCCTAATAAATCATGGATAGCTACAATGCTAATTATTAAGATACGAAAAAGGTGTTACGCTAAATTCCTCTGAGGGTAAATTCATCGCAGCGAAGTTCATTGCTTTCTAACACGATGAAGTGCAAAACGGATGGCAAAAAACCATGAAAAAATGATTCCATATGATACTTCACATCCGGGCTGATACTTCGCAATGTAAACCTGTTTCTCGCGGATTTTAATAGGGGCAAATGCGTCCAGGTTTGTCGAGGACTCCCTACTGGACAACCCTCGCAGTCATACTTCTCGGATAGGATGAGGGCTGATTCAATATACACGTAGTAAAGGGTGAGGCTGAGCAGCGGGTTAAACATCCCAAACGATATTAACTTTTTTGCGTTTTTGTGTTCTTACCTCTAATATCATCGGCAAACGAAATAATTATAGAAAAAAATCCCACTGGATGTTATTATATAACCATGCCGATACTTCGAGCGAAGTGGTTTAAACTTTATTGAAAGGCGATATCAAAATGATTTCGGATTGGCCTTCTGTATTTATTTTTCAACCCAAAGATACATTATACTGCTGCAATAGCTTAAGCAGTTGTATTAGATATAAGACCAATCTGACGATACGGTTTAAAGTATCATCGCGTTTTTTTCCTCTGCTGCACGGATTAGAGGTGTGTTTCGCAGTTCGCAGCAATTAAAAACCATTTGCAGCGTCTTTAACTCGTGCCCAGTTGTTACATGTATTGATGGCATACTCCATAATGTTCTTCTGTGGACTATAATCTGTGGTCCGTGTTGCTGGAAAGAGTTCAGCTTCTGGCGATTCTTGTCAAATCTCTACAAGTCGAGGTATGTGGAAAACACATTTGGTCTCTTATTTCCGGCAACTGATCTTATACACCAACCGGCTCTCTACACTCCATAAAAAAGAAACGAATATAGCAGGCGTACTTACAGGTGCATTTCCCTATTTCCTTCCTTCAAGACATCAAACCCCACGTTTACTGAGAAGTCGATGTTATTGCATTCAAACATCGGCACAGCATCCTCATGTCGGCATGTAAAAGTATCGACTGCTTCGAGAAAAGTCTGGCCGGTCAATATAGTACTTGCGATTCAGTAGTTTTTATGTATCGAGAAGATCGAGCACATTAATAGGGGAAGCTTAATCGGCCAGCGTGAGCACAACGTTGTATCAGGGCACCGGATCGAAGGTTTCTTTGAAGTCGCGTTCGGTTTTCGTGGGGCATTTATTTCGGGAGCTATATTCATCCGTTGCGATGACATTACGTTTTCTAAGTAGCTGTTCAAGTACTTGGAGTTATACGATAAGGATACTTATTCTCAAGAGACGAGAAAAGGATTCGTTTCAGATGAAGTGAGATTCTTTCTTGCCTTAGTTTATTTATCAGAACCTTCTAGCTTCCCATAGAAGGCATTTTTAACGTCCAATATGTTAAGAAGGAGCTTCTGGTTTTGGTTCTTTAACAACGTCTCCTTTTCCTTAATCTTTTACTCCAGCTTGTGGGTTAGGGTAATCTCCATTACATTGGCGATTGTATTAATTAAGACATATTTGTGATAAGACATCGAGACAGCAGGATTCCCCAAAAGCGGAACGCTTTTGGGGATTAGAGCAAGTTCTGTACCTTTCCAACTTTGTGGAAGCCCCACAAATTATTTACGAGATCTCCAACAGATCAGGCGAATGTCTAGACTATGTCCGGTGGCCCTCCATTTGGGCCAAGGATTTTTCCAGCATTATCCTTACACCTGTTCTTTCTCTCCACTCGGTAATGACCTCTGGGATTTCTACTATGTCTACGTTTTGCTGATGTCTTCTTGACAGAGTTGGGAGGTTAAGCTTAGCAGGCAAACATACTACCCGCTATGCCATCATTGCGGTCGTTGTAGCTTAGCATTCGCCTGCAAATCGTGGGTACATATGGTGCTGTAGATTCATAGACACAGTTGGTTGCCTGCCGAGTAATGGACGTAAAGCTGGTAAACCTGGTAAATAGCTACAGGCTATATCGTCGGTCGAACGGCCGGTCAGTCAAAGTCGATGAACTTACATCGAATTATTTAACTAACCGCCAGAGCAAAACTTGCCATTAAGTTACTACGCTTTACTACGATAGCTCGAATGGTTACCTGCAAAGAAAGAATAAACCAATAGGAAAGAGAAGTAATTGGAGCGGGCCAATGCACCTGCCACCGCCAGAAAACATGACAGCATAATAAGACGACTGCCGCTTATCATTTCAATGATTAAACAATTGTTTTAAGACTCTTTTATCAAAGGCACAGGCACAGGGCGATTTTTATGGCTGTCTCACATTATATACTACCGTAATAATAGCAAACAAACAGGTAACACAGTCATAACATTTTCGGATAGACGTAACATGTATAGCTTCCAACGTGACGTCACGTCTGTACGTGTCACAGCCGTAAATCAATAAACCATTTTTACCCTCTATTCGTTGCTATACAAATTCTCATAATAAAGCAAAATTTTTATATTAATAACAAATCACGATAGCGATACGAGACCCTTCAATGTTATTCTCTAAACTTCTGTTTGCGGTTTTTAGTGTGTTTCACCTCTGGGATTTTATATAATAATGAAAATAAATAAAATTCTATTCATACTGAATGTTTGGTACACAGCCAGAAAAAGATCATTAGAATTCTGATCACATACGTATCGTCTATGCGTACACCGTTCCGGTAAAAGCAATGAATAATTCTTCGAATAGAAAAAGGCTATAAGGAACTAAATTCACAGCTTGGGTTGGATCTAACTGCTCTTTCCTCATAGATGATTTATGTTGAAGGGCAGCTGGCGTTCGTCACACTTTTATTGTACAACAAGTGGCTAAAGAACGCACTAAGTGCAAGTTAGAGCTTACGATCGACACTGCCCTCGCCCTGTTTATATACTTTATGCATGTTATTAGTAGACTAGAAGAATGAGATTACCATATCGCCTACAGGGGGCTCAATACTGCTGCATATAATTTTTTTTCATCATTAGATTTCTTCTATAGTATATGTCGACTGATTACCTAATTATATTTAACTAATTATATTTACCTTGTTCATATATATATATATATGCATTTTACATTTCAGTGGAATGCGTATTTCTTGATGAAAATTAGAGAGAACAGGTTCTCTTGAGCTACTGGCCATAGTCACCGAAACTTTATTAAGTATTAAGAGTACTTTATAAAGCACAACACAGTATTTTTCTTTTGCAAATAAAAGAAGTTCGTCGTAAATTCAACAAAAGATTTACTTTGACCTAGGTGTGCCTACAGCTCAATAGGCTCGAAATCAGAAGTGTCGAAGGACGATTTGTAATCAGAGTCAATCAATGATTACCCCAACAGGCCTACGTGGGTACATTGTTGTTTCGAGTCTCGGCAACATTACATGAATCCTCTACAGTTTATATAAAAGAACAAAATTATTGTATTTTGTGCTTTCTCTGTTAGCCATAACGTTTCTAACGGTACTACGCTGCTTTGTCCGCATACAATGGATTATTAAAATCTTCAGCAGCGCGCCCCCGACCTGCTGTATTTAAGAACGAAATGCCACAGCTTTCTTGTGCAGATAAAGAGTTGTTTCTAATCGCCATTTAACAACTTGATAGCACTTCTGCGTCTCTGTGATACCTAATGCATTTCCACTGTCAAGTGAGCAGTAAGACATGCCGTATTTCGAAAAATTGCATTCTGGAAGTGACATTTCCAGGGGGTTGAGGCTAAGCGTGCCATTGCCTGTATTATCAGAGACACGGAAAGTCTAAATTCGACCGTGTGTTTTTCTTTTTTGTTCCGAGTTTATTTACGAATATGTACATTTATCGTCTATACGAAGGCAATGAGCGAGCTAAAATGTCAACATTTTTTGCTCATCAATGAATTGCTTCGGAACGGGCGTACCCGTCGAAGACAAATGTGCCATCCAAATACAACGCCATCGCAGGCAGCACAAATTCACTCTTTACCACACCATTTTCGCTGTAGCGTACTCAAATCTTCGCTATATAGCAATAAAACCAGCGAACTCGAGACCATAGATGCTTCATTTTGCAGCTTCATCTCATCGTATCGTTCAGGCCGAGGTTAATAACTTCATACATATAGAATATACATTTTCAGATACAGGCTTCGTTCTGGTCATACCTGGTCCAATATGTACATAGCATTGGTGGAAAAATTTGCACGCTAGGCGAAACCGTCAAATATTTTTTACTCAATTCTCACGTTATTTTTTTTTAGAGTGCAGTTCAAGCTGCTAGAATTACTTCAGGCAATGTGTATCTTTTGCCGTACCGTGACCCGACGTATTCCCAACGAAATTAATATTCTATTGAGTAAATGGTACGCAGTGAATACGAAAACGGGCAGAGTTTGTGTTAAATATTAAGCGCTACGTGCAGGCGATTTCGGCTTTGAACATTGCATTTTTTCAATTGTAAATAGCGGACCTTAGTCAATACCCAGAGATCCTCATTTTACGCTAGCTAGACAACATCAAATTAGAACATAACTATTAAATTTTGTTTTAAATATTTAGCCCATTTGCAAGATAAGTGAAACTCAGTCCCTATTAAAGTTATCACCATAGAGCGCGACACAATCTAGATCCCTTGATTTTGCCATCACAAAATATCCAGACGCCTTCTAGTTAGGTCTAGTCTCAACTGTTACGCATGACCGACAGCAGTAGCGATAATTTTACTCTTCGTATTGCTATTGTCGCCTGCCGTTTCGAGTCATCGGGGCAGCGACGAAAGTAGCTTCACGCTACACGGTCGCTGTCTCTAGTAGGAAACCGTTCTATTCGCGCACGGGTTGCTATCTTTCTGTTCAACTAGAAGCCAAGTGACTAACGAGTAAGAACTGTGATCCCGTAGAAAAAACAACTCCTTAATTCGAGAATCTTTGAATAGCCGACAAACCAGCCATTTAGCCACCTGCGGCGTAACTTCAGCTAACGATATACGTTGAAATGATGAACCGTTTGTTCTTTATCGCCTTTATTTGATTTGGCCATAAACTATCACAGAACTAAGCTCATTTCGATCGGTCGTTCAGCTTCTTGCGGTCGATAATTTTCTACGTCGGAAGGCTAAAACCATGCTAAATTACATCAATGTGTAGTCTTAAAATCAAGAGCTGATTAGTGCATGTATTTAGAGACCTGAGCAAGTAAAAAAATAGAAAATTCTCAACGTGTAACGAGCGACATAGTGGCTGAATTAACTAGCATGTTGAAACTCGTTGAAAGTCTGATCGTCGCGTTGGTGACAGTTGGTAATATTGAAGATATACAAAGCAGTAGTGCCAGATCACTTTCGTATAGTTACTACCCGAACGTCAAGACAAAAATGGGTAAGTACAACATTTTTTCGTGGTGCATTCTCAGAAAAGAGTGTATTGTTCTCAGTATTGGGTGCGCGTTCGCTAACCCGTTTCTCCGTACCCGTCCACCATTATCACTTTGAGGTAAAATCAACGACGATATCAATCCTTCTCTTTAGAAGAAATTGAGAGGAGTTAGTTAGCGATCATTTTTTTATTTCTCAAATCAGATGTTCTTCGTGTGCAATATATAATTAGCAATATATCAAATCAAATTAACTATAGTTATTTCTTCGTTTTCTATGGCCTATCCTATTTCCCTAGCGCCACGAAACTGTATCCCTAATCTGTCGTATGATTAAAATAGGAACAAGAGAACGGATAGAAACAGTAAGTACATGTTACACACACGGTTGTTAATTCAAAGATCTTTTTGCATCTGCTGACCTGTATCAGATAAATGCGTGCATCCTATATACGCCGTCCTATTCACAGGAGATTATTACCCAAAAGGCCTGTGCGAAAGACACAGGTGCTTTATTAATGCCGGTGGACAAGGTTAGTGGTATGGTATTATATCATTGATCCCTATCATTTGATCCGCTGATAAACGTATTGTGGTTAATGCAACGTTTTATTCCAACTCTATACTTCGATCGACTAATGAGGTAGGCTCAGTTGTACCTAATATTGCCCGATGGCAACCACAGTCACGGAACAAAGTGGCGAGCTAAAAGGGTACTTTTCCTACAACAATTTACAAGCATTATGTTAGAGCAAAAGGAAATGATTTAAACTTATCTAACACTAAACATTTTTGCCTTACAAACACTGAGTGTGAGCGCATCTCTACCTAGACAAACTCATTGGTATTAGCCATGACGTTGTGTCTGTGAAAATATCTGGGGTTGTTCATAATAAACGCGTGACGCATAAAGTAGAATTAGAATGCCGTGGTTCTATTATCGTTAGGAAGCGTCATTTGGCCTTTAATTTTCTCTCTATCCCAGGTATGGGCAATGGAGGTAGGATATTTTCGCTGCAGCGTTTGAAGGTTATCCGCGAAAGAAGAACGCTATCGCTAGGATATAGCCATGTTCCCGCGATATTTGGGAAATATTGAAGCTTCCGCTGTAGAATGGCACGATCGTGCTAGATCATAAGTTACGTCATTGGTCGTGTTAATCATAACTGCATACAACTTGAATTTAAGAAAAAATCCACTAACGCTCTCTCTTTGGTAAACAATCAATTGAAGGTCATTTGGTATTTATGAGCAGGTCACCTTGAAGTAACAGGATGCCCTCCACCGCAGATTCGTGGTTGTTGGCCCCTGAGCAATGAAACTCAACCTTATCCAAGGTACGTAGCTAATTAATACAATTTGCAGTGCGTATACAGAGCGTCTATCTTGGTGCACGTTGATCTAACATTGGCTTAATTTGAATGTATAACAAGATTTAGACCGCTTTCTCGCCGATGAGCGATTGTCGGAAGAGTCACTTTTTGGGGGGTGAGCAGGGAGTCGCCGACGCCCCTGTTCCAGAGCGGACCATTTCTACCGACGTTTATGCTGTTGCAGATGCTGCAAGCACGTGATGGTGTGTGTCCAAGGAGCGATGGATCACGGGGATCACGGCAGTTTCAGCGTCGTCGAAGCCAGCCCGGGCGATTTGAAACCGAGGCCGTATCGCCGACCCCGAAAGGGGCTTATCTCACACTATTGCAAATAAACACAAGAAACTCTCAACCCGTGAATTAGTCGCCATTCGTACCTTATGCATCTAGACATTGAGCTATAGTATATATATACGATATTTAGTAACGGTAAAAGCCCACATCACACAGAAATGCTTAGGGCGAACATGTAGTAACGGATAAAATGATCGAACAATTGGCCCAGAATTTAAGCTATAGCTAGAATAAAGTATTTTTGCCGCGTCTAACAAGATCAAAGCAAATTTTTTTAATTCGCTACGAGAGTTACGATTTTAAGTATAAGCTTTGAAGAGTGCAACGATAGGATCATTTACTTATGAATTAGGCTACTCGAGGGAGTAGGTTTTTTCGTCCATCACCCACGTAGTAGAATAATAAAAATAAACGTATCGCAAAAATAATTATGAGGATTCCTAACGAACAATGTTTCAATTTGACTGATACTGATGTTTACCAGTACGTCTTCAGCGTAAGAATATGATTTTTATTAGGTTAATTAGAAGTAAGTAATCAATTGACGGAAGCACATTAGTGCCCAGTTAATAGTATTCGTTTCCCTTCCTGGAAACTCTCCTCGAATCGATTTTTGTGCCATCCGAAACCCAACTGGGTAAACAGTTCCTTTAAAAAAGGTAATTTGTTATTCCTATAGACCATAATACTACTCAATGCAAGCAATAATCGGATAAAGAGGTGTTCTAAAGGGAGAGCGGGAACGACTATAACACGGTAACGTTATATACATCTAGACCGGAACGCTTGAGTTAGATATCTTACGTCAACTTAGGGCAAATCTCCGAACGAACGACCGACTAACTTTATGCAGGCGAATTATGATGTTTTTGTATTTGGTTGATTTTTAAAATTGAGCACGATTCCGAGAGAAATTCTGACAACAAGATGCGGGAAGTTTTTTATTTTCTATCTGACGAACGAAAGCTCCGTCCGGCTACGACAGATGGACCCGCTTAAAATGCCAATCACAAAACAACCAACGATTTTATCAACGGCTGCCGTACGTCGGTAGGGTTCTTAAAAGATATCGCAACAGAACCATTGCACCTACACGCCAAGGGTATCATAGACCTCACTTTAACGTGTTTAAAACATAAACATAGATCGAATGGTGCGGCAAATTTTCTTTTTTTTTTTCCTATTTCTATTCTATATCTATCTAACCATTTTGCTATTTGCTTAATTATTATTAGGTTATTGCGTCTATTCTCTATACATTTTTAACACAGAAGATACATAGGGAACTTTATCAATTCGATCTAAGACGAGCCGGCAAACTTTGTACATAGACAGACACAAGGCTTCTTCTCAGACTGTTATTTTTTACGTCTGCGATGGTGACGTGTTTGTCAGCAAAGGGAAGAAACACAGAGATGATTTAGGCCTGCAGATAGATACTTTGATTTTACTATGTAAGTTGACGCAATACGACAACCTCTACGGGCCTCTAATTAGGCACGAGCATTAGTATTTATTTTGTCTAAGCTTCGCTTATTTATGTAACTCATTCTCTAGCTGTTTTCGTTCGCCGACACTTTTTACTGTTTCACTGGACCAGGAACAAACATGTAATAGACATTGCTTTTTTATAATGTTAGCAATTAGAATATGCCTATAACGCGGTAAGTAGGCTACGTCGGCCCGTTTTTTTTGAGTCAGAATAAAAGTGACCGTTCTCTGCTCAAAACTGGCCGTTACGATTTTTTTTTCTATATAAAATAAGCGTACACATTTTCTGAATCATTTTTCTTTGTTCTTTAAAAGCTTCGAGAGCAAAAAGAACAGTATCATAAGGAAGATGTTAATAAATACAAAGTTCGCAGATGTTTTGAAATATGGCGAAGCAATATTTAATAGTATATATATATATATATATATATATATAGTACCGGATGTAAGCCGCAACACGATTATTAGCTATGCTTCAAATTTGCAATGAGGCATACTAAACCCGTCGTAACAGTAGGTTTACCCCTAAAAAACGTCTTATTTTATTGACACATATTATGCATGCTTACGTACTCGTTAGATATGCACGTCGCCAAAGTAGAACGACTTTCCGGATCTGTCGTCCCGAGTCTGTCTTGACTGTTGGCTCGCTGAACAAGGCCACAACTTAATAGGTGAGGCTGATTGGTTACTGTTTTGCTTAGGTAAAAACGAAAATATTTTAACCATATGGCTTTCGTTACTCTCCCTGTCGACACTCTTCAGAATACAAAAGTTCCGAGCGATCGAAAATGCTTCGGACCTGTTCATATAGCACTAGAAACTCGGTAATATATACGCGTATGCCCAATAAGTTGCAAAAAAAAAAAGAACTTATATGCTAAACACTGCTTTTGGCACCATGCTTTGGTACGGGTCTAATGGCATGCCAATATAACAAATCCACTTATCTGATCTACCAACCGAAAGTTTAACTAGTGGGCAGTGAAAACATGAATTTGAGTGATTTTCTTAGCATCGTTCATCGATACAATTTATTCATCGTTTTCCATCATTATACATTATCGTATTTGTCCTTTTATCTCTGTCTTTAGTTGCTGTCGTCGTGATTTTCATTTAATTTTTTCTACCTTTAAGTAACATAAAGTAATTTAAAATGTACACACTTAGCAGTTTTAATAAATTTCTTGTATTCGCTCATTTCTTTCCTATTTATCTGCCTTTACCCTCTGTATGATGTGTTCGTCGTAAGCACTGCTCCCCGGTACCTTTTGTCGTCTCGGCCTTGTCGCTTATGGATTTTTTTGTGTATATTTTTTCGGTGTAATTCCGTGTACCGACGATGCGTTTTCTGATCGCACTCTCAGCCGCCCCCTGTCTATTTATCCCATCGTTCACCACCGTTTTCAGCAAGCAATATCACGTCTCCTTTTAGACATTGCTATTATTACGAAGAAATATTATCATCAATGTTAATTTTTGTGTGATCTGCCGACACATCATCGCTCATTTATTTTGCCCTCATTTCTCAGTATTTCAATTGTTCCTGGCTCTGTCTTCACATCATTATCATGTCATCAATCAATAGCGACAACATCCACCTTGCAATGTCATTATTATAATAATAATATTTATATCATTAGCATTATCATTAATATTATCGTTATTATTATAATTAGTGTCGTCTTAATTTACCCACTTGTTTTCTTTGTAGTTCGTCTTCTATTTACAATAAATATATATTATATTTACATTTTAATAATGATGACGACGTCTAAGTAATGCCGCTTTAATTCATAGCCGTTCATACACATCTATATATATATATATATATATATATATATATATATATATATATATATATATATATAAATTCTATGCCTATAACTATATAATGGTGTTATTATCATTATTATGTCCATTATTACTACTCTATATTCGATCACTTTTATAATTAATATAATGTCTTTCATTCGCATTGTCTGATTATTATTATTATCATCATCATCATCGTTACTAATATAATAATTATAAGCGATCCTTTGTTTTCCATTGCACCCTCTACCCTTGAGATAATCGAACAGATGTTGCTGTTATTACTTACTAATTATAGTTATCATCATCATTATTGGTAACTTTAAAAGTCGTCATTTATCAATTCAGTTCACATACATTTATTCCTGTGTACAGGTTCACTCAGCGTGTAAACTTATCTACCTATGCAAATTTCCATTACACCCACAAAGTAAGTTTTTTTTTCCATTCACAAAGGTATTGAATAGTCTCTCCGTGCCCCGAGCGGCCTATTACTATTGAAGAAGCCAGTCCGATCAGAAAAGCTTTCTGGGCAACGGTTCTCGTTCTTGCGCTGTTCCAAAGATGGCAGGGGCATCCACTTTTTTCTATAAACACCCAATTAGTTCGATAGTAAACTATGACGAATAATAATTACTTATTTAGGATCCTTCCAAGCCTAGCAACAAAAGCTAGGATAGGTTAATTGCTACACTGAAACTAATCAGGATTCGTTTTTTTTCCCTTTATATAGAAATTATCAACGATGGCACCTCTAATTACACTAAGAGCACTTATTTAATGATTAATTTTTAGCGCAATTTTTTTTCGAGACCTGCAATATATTCTTCCAATGTTCAAAAACGTTAATCTCCATCGTCATTGATTAATTACTAATAGCACGCTATAGAATTGCCGTCACAATTATTGTCATACCCTTTTAATAGTCCCATCGCTATCTGCGACGCCCCTTTTACTCGATTTTGTTTCATCTATTTTCAACGTCATTCGCCTATTGATAACTTATCACAGAGCCCTGGCATTATTTCCGGCCGCCTCGTCCTTGATCAAATTTACTAAGTGTTCTATTGACGCCCAGGCGATCACACCTTCGCTGGCATAGAGCACGATTTTTTACATTTGTTTGTGAGTGAAACTACTACAGACACAAGCCACTGACAGCTTTGTTGGGGTGGCAAAGGCTTTGTTTCAACTTGGACGAAGTTCGCAATAGCAGATTCACCTAAATTCCCTCTTGTTTTTCCCTCGAAAACTTGCTGATTACATCCAATAGGCATCTGAAGTCATCTCATTTTGTGGTGTCTCTACCCCTCTCGCACTGGCTATATGTACATTATCTCGAAATGTTTTAATATTTTAGGACCTACTTCTATAACATTAGCAGTCGCATCTTATTATATAATCACTACCGTTATAATCATTGTTGTCGTCTCTTCATACACTTTTCATTTCCACATATCACCACGAGTTGAATCTCATTTTCTCATATTACTATGTCTATGATATTCCACCATAATAGAACCCCGTCGAGGCAGCTGCAACCTCCACGCTTTTCGAAGTCAATCTTGCTGTGGAAGGCAGTACGGGGCTGAAGAACGAACGCGTGGCCGCATGATTCATGTTGCGCGTGTAGCTTCGGCCGTAGATTTTTATTGTGTGCATGTGTTTGTGTATAGATCTGTGAGGTGTGCTTGAAGTGCTTACTCGTGTACCGATCACGTGTTTGGGCTGATGTGCAGCTTTTCTATGTGTATTTTTTTGCAAGATTTTTCATCGTTATAGTTGAGTACTAGTAGTGCAAGTACGTCTTAATGTTAATTTCTCCCACAATGCCCCAACCTGTATCCATGGTTCTCTCTAGGAAACACATATGGATGCACATGCACCATTGATATAGTGACATAACTCTTAACGCATTGTACAGGGCTCCGATTCGGCACGAACAATCCCTCCATGTTTTTCATTTGAGAAGAGACTCTAAAATAGCACCACCCAATTAGATATATAGCTAGCGCGCTTAACGACTGAACCCTAAGCAAAGACTGCAGGCCACAGCCTCGTACCCCATATAGTCCAAAGTTGAGCGGCATATCCTTGTGTGAAAACACACAAGACAAAGCAGAGATAAGATATTAAGGCCATAAGCTAGTTAGCATTATTACAATTGCAATCGTTTCGCCTCTTCACTGTATTCGATAATATGTAGTCGTCAATAAAAGCTACGCCGATCCCTATAGCCTCGAACGGCTCTCAAACCTGACTCTGTTTTCGTCAAAAAATTCGGGAAGGGTACATCTTACGGAACGGAGCATCAGCAGAAACTAGCACGCTCGGCTGACTGTGTTTTCTGCTGCTAAAAAAAAACAAAAAAAAAGATCGTAGTAAACGACAGCTGTAGCAGGAAGGAATCCAGGATAACAACAAGGACAACAATGAGTTGACGAGACCAACAGCTACTAGTAATACATAGCATGCTATACCGTCCATTTGAACCTACCCCCAACTAGTGGCAATTGAGCGATCTCGCTTTAACACTACAATCAGAAGAAATTCAACGTTACAGATACATCTTCTTACGAACTTTGTTGTACTTCGTACTCACACACAACAAAGTAGCTGTCCAGACATATGCAATCGCCCCTGTAGAATCAGCGTTTCCATTGTTCCGATGATAACAGTCAATAAGCACAGCAGACGTGGTAGCAATAATTAAAATAGACGTATTAGTACAAGTTCCAATCATCATTGCCACGATATAATAGTCGACACTAAGAAAAACCATATATCGGCAAAAATAACTTCTTCTATATGTTTACGATCATCATATTTTTATAACTACAATAATAATTACTACTTTTTTTCAAAGTGTTACTATCAGACGTCAGCATAGAATCATTTTCATCACACAATGACCTAGGCACACGCCTAGGCAAGTGCCTTCGTCAATGTCTATTCATATGCCTAGCTGGTATTAGCCTGTCTTCGTATTTGTGCATCACGTGTAGCGTGTAATTAAGTCCTCGTTTCCATATGGACATGTGCGGGTGTGTGTGTGTGTGTGTGTGTGTTTGTCTGTGTGTATTCATTGCAATTTGTGTCTGGCAAACCCAACGGGAGATTCGTAGTTGCCCCTGCTGCCGAAAGTCAGGGAATGGGGGACAACTTGAAGTTGGCGATTTGACTGTGGCCTCGTTCTACGCTCTATTCCGTTCCCGGATCTTCTATTTAGCAAAAAAAAAAAAATTAGTGAAACAGAAACGCTGTAAGTAGGCATGATAAGATAATTGTACACATATAAGAATAAGCGCCTTCTATGTGTACCAATCCTGAAGAAAAACATTACAACACCATTTACGCTCTTGACGGTAGCACTAATTATCCATATCTACCTGTATCTATATTATGCGAACTTTATTATACGACAAAGTTCATCGACCGGTACCAAACGTAACGCACGTCGGACGTACGATTAATTTCGATCTCTATATCGATCGTTAGGTATGAAAAATGAAATAGATTTCTGTACAGCGATGGTCTTCCTGAGGATTCGCTTGCCTCACCGAGCGTTCTGCCGTAGGCACTTCGGGATATGCTTACGCACCTACTTCACTTATCATAAAGGCTAAGCTCATCCACAGCACAAATATCGAAAGCTGACAAGTATCATTGATCTATACGTGATTCACGTACTTTCTTCAGAAACTTCGTTTCAATGACAGCAGTGCACGTTGGCATGTAGCGGTTTGGCAGGCAAAAACAAAAAAAAAAAAAAAAAAAAAAAAAAAAGATCAGATTAATGAACAGGCGGCAGTGCTAAAAAGTTATTTTTATGGGAAATCTCGAGAGCAAAAAATGTCGCGCTACGCCGAAAGCATTGTGATGATACCTTTTCAGATTACTGTTTCTACGTACTCGAGTAGGTAGAAAATGATGGTACGTACGTACCAGTGAATCTTACGTCATAGAAGGTTTCAGTGCAAATAAATTTATGATTTAACAATGGTAAGTTAGCATGGTAAAACACGAATTTTTGTTTCTAGATGTATTCTAAATGAAGCCAAGTATAAGTAAAATAATAAAAAAAAACACTGATATGCTTAAGTCGGTTACACGATGTTGTTGGGTAACTCATGGCTCCATTTTGTACGGGCATTTTCGATGGCCAATCGAGGGCTTCCAGTGACAAAAACTCAGAATTAGAATCTTTTCACTATAAACGTACTGGTCAAGAAGCAACGGACGCACACGCTAATAAAAGGCATATCGGAACATCAACAAGTTTCTACACGAACGAACCGGGATAAATTATCAAGAAAATAATATAGAATTGGCAGTTCTAGCATCCACCAAGCATAATACATGTTGCAATAGATCGTGGGGCAAATCTGAATAAAGTGAAACTTTAGTTGTTTTTTTCTAATGCAATATGTAAGCTTTCTTCTCAGTTGCTTTTTCATGGTAAACGTTATTTTTGTATTGTTAGCTCTATTTTCAATGGCCGGCAATCATCTATTACAAGGTAATTGCACATTATGACAAAATACCATCTCGTAGGAAACAGTCGTAGCTATTATATAAAGGTTAATTCTCACTCGTCGCTAGCATACGGAAAATGAGCTGTAAGCAAGGGTTCTTACTTTAAGCATATACTTTTTTGCGAGGTGTGCTTAAAGTCACAATTTAGTTCTTCTTCGATTTTTCAGCCCGAATGAGGATAATAGCCTATCTAGGCAAAACATATATGCCCTTAGGAAACATGCATAAAAAAGGTAAGCGATATCAGTGTGGTAAGGATCCGTTAGTTTGTATGGAATTGATTGGATTAACAGCAAGAGATTGGGACGGTAGTCATTGTATGATCGTTCATTGTTAAGTCCACGCATTGTACCGCAAATCAACAAACTTCATTGTCATCATTACTTGATCATCTGGCCTAAACGGACAGCGTACAAGCAGGTGTAGGATCCTTCTTTTACAAGGTGGCATATGGTAAAAGGATAACGATATCCAACCATTCCAGTGTGTGCTGCCCAAGCTATGCTATCGTCGTAGTTTTAATAGTTCTAAAGTGAATCTTAACATGACACATTTCCATCTATTCTAGCAATGACCATTTCCAGATATTTCCTATACTACGGCTAGCCACAGTCACCACCCAATAATATTAGGATTAGTTTTAAAATACAATCAATTTCAATGTACACGTAAAAATAGATAAAGCTTTATCTACTTTCTATTTTATGAAAAATATGTCCATTGCGTTCTACCACTCGCAAACTAACCATAGATGGTTGGATTGTAGAGTTTTGCTTGTCTGTGTTTAGTGTCACT